ATATATTTACAAAATTAATATTTATGGAAGCAAACAGTAACTCCTGATATAACTGTTGCTAGGGCTTGCATTCATCTGGTGCTGTTGCAGATAGTTGCAACAGCTGGATCTGTCTGAGCAAGCTGTTGCAAAGAAATGAAAACTCTCCGAGGTTCAGAACGTTTAAACACCTATTTGTTTAACTGTATTCTTGAAGTCCTAGATTTGCTTTGGAAAGAAGAGAAATCGACTTTATGAATAAGATAAATAGACTGACTTACTGTCAGTAGATAGACTGACTGCCAGTACTGTTGTAGGTATGCAGTTGGTTGGCCCATTAAGGTTGATGGAGCACAGTGGTAGAAGAAGGTGGGGGACAGCCCCTTGTCTGTGTCCGTCAGTCCTGCTCCTGTGGCTCCGGTGGAGCTTTTTACCAGCTTGACACCAGTAGGGAATGGGGCCAGCGATGCTCTGGCTTGGTGTCAAGGAGGGGTGACAAAAAGCTTGGGTTCTGGCTGGGGTTTGTTTGTGAAAGTATGCAGGTTTGTAAGAGTTAATTTTCTTTCCATAATTGTTAGCCATAATGTGTATAAGACCTCCACCTTGATATGATTCCTAGCAGATTAGGGATATTAGATAATTTCCTTCTATTTATTGTACTACTGCACTGTATTATCTTTCTATCACTCAGATAATTACTAAGGAAATCTACATTAATTTTTTTTGGCTAGCACAAGGAACTGCTAAACACTGGCATGATGTATTGATGTTTTACACAACAAAAGTTTTCCTCCTGTCATTGTACAATAAATAAAAAGATATTTATCAAAATGCAAAGCCTTTCATGGGTTTTAAAGAACAAAGCAAATAAAATACAAGATGAGCATGGAAGCAAAACCTAGAGGCTTCCTTAACTGCACAAAATTAAGGACTCTGAAGCCTGGAGTACTGTACATATTAAACACTCACATTCAAGTAAGATGTTGTTTGCTAAATTATGAATGTGTGTAATTAAAATCTAGTGGCTGTTTCTATGAAAGATTTACAATGTTATTTCATCGTTTGTCATGGCTAATTAACAATATTAGATGAAGTTTTTCTTCTTCAAAGGTCTGATTTTTTCTCATTTATTTATGTCAGAAGTGATAAACAGAGTAGTTAAAAGCTTCTCCGGGTGCAGTAGTGAGAAAAGCAACATGTTCCCTTACACCTCGAAGGTTCAGGGTTCACATCCCTGTGGAGTAAAGCAGCTCCATCTTCTTTCTGGTGAGAATAATTAAAATTTTCAAAGTGCGGAAGTAGCAGCCTTAAATACAGCACAGAATAATTCCAAACATAACAGAAAGTATTGCGGGGCTTGATGGATGAAGCAAGCAGAGCACAGTGCAGGGTTGTTTTTCATTACATCTAAGTGTGATGTGATGGTGTGGTGCGATTCTCATGTTCTACATGTTCTTTGCCTCAAAGAATTACACAGGACTTTTAAGAGCTGCCAGCAGCGTTTGCTTTACCCACGACTGAAACACAGCCTCTTCTGGGGTAAAACACAACCACGTGGATCAGGAGATGCACGTACATTGTTAGTTGGGATGGCAGGAAGGATTTGGGTAGGATGAAAGTAGCCACTGGAGGTGGGAATCGACTGCAGCCCTGTGGTTAGCTCGAGCACCTAAGCGTGCCTTGGGGTCTTTGATATGGGGTGGTGGGCTCGCTATCTCGCCTTGATACTGGGTGACTGCAATCAGCAGTTGAAGTGTGTTGAGACGAGGAGCCCTGTAAATCCTCTGTTAACACTTTGCTCTGTATTGACAAATGTGCATTTTTTTCTTTTCCAGCCCCAGCAACAGCAGGTGGCTACGCAGCAGTTGGCCTTCCAGCAGCAACTCTTACAGATGCAGCAGTTGCAACAGCAGCACCTCCTGTCTTTGCAGCGTCAGGGGCTGCTGACGATCCAGCCTGGCCAGCCTACTCTGCCTTTGCAACCCCTTGCACAAGGTTGGTGAGGGGTTTGGGAGCTGCCGACTGTCTGGCAAAGCAATAGCATGCCATGCACACGCACACGAAATTGTCACTCAGTAAGAGAGAGAGAGAGAGATCTTCTAGGCTCATAAAATAATAAACACAGAAAAGCCCTGACAGGCAGGGTGGGCATTATAGAGGTATTTTCTGAGAAGGGCAGTGCTGAAATCATGGACCGCTCTGACTAGCAGGAGGCAGGCGGTTCAGAGTTCACATGCAGTTTGCACAGCTATAGCCAGTCTGGTGGACTTGAAGCTGCTGGTTGTACTCATCTGGGCTTCAAATCCTTCACAGGACGCATCTTAATCAATTCTTGGTGCTGGGTTCATGGCTTAAGGTAGTGTGAGAGCAGTTTTTCCTTTTCTAAACATGCTATTTGGGCCCTTTCTGGTTCCAGCCTGGCAAAGGGCTGGGCGCAGAGCGGCTCTGATCCTCATGCTGCCGAGCTGTAGAAATTGGATTGCCCTTTGCAGCAGCTGGGAGGGAGAGGTGGCAGTGTCTCCTCTCCATGCCTGTTTACATGGCCCTCATTTCACTGCCTGTGTGCCTCATAGCCTCATTCCTCTCTCCACACTGAGGCAAATTGGGATCAACTCCGTTTAATTTTAATGGTGTTGTTGACAATTAGATCCTCCTACATCTTTATTCATCCCGCGCTTTGCCAGAAGTTACTGCTTTGCTGAAATCCCTATTTTTATTTTTCTTTTGAGATATTGATACATTGAAAGCAATAACTACTTAATCTCTGTACTTCTGACAGTGATTTTAACCTGGGAGTTTTATTCTTTCTCTTCCTATTGGGCTTGAATTTACTTTTTTTTATTAAACTGGGTTTGTCTGCAAGCCTTGGGACCTTTTAACAGACTTCCTTCAGCTACGGCTGCTGTGATTAAGGCAGCCTGTTGGCATGGCTCAGGGAAGACCAGGTCTTTCAACCATGATGTTGGTATTTCTGAATGATCATGCCTTTTCCTTCCCCTGCCCCATAATAAATTTAAACATCCACCACAGCAACTTAAGTCAGCTCAGGTTGAATGACTTGGGCTCTTCAAAGCAGCCTTAGGGCTGCTGCTAGTTGCTAAACCATATAATGAATTTATGTTCAGCTCTATACGGTTAAAGGGGGGGGGGAGTGGGGGGGACAGGACAAAATTTCTTTTGTTCTTCACCCTCATTTTTGTGTGTTCATAGGTGCAAAAAGGAGAGCGAGGTGGCTGGGGAATATTAACTTACATGTATGGGTAAATGGAGACAAAACTTGGGAGTGCTTTGTGTGTGGCTGGCGTGGTTTATTTAGGCTTATTTTTGCCAGACCCGCAAAGGTATATGAGTGCCTGTTCTAAAAGGCTAAGTTTTGGGGACCTACCACCTCTCTCTGCGAGACTCAATTTAGCTTTTCCATCATCCCAAAGCTGGACATCAGGTCTAGACTAGTCCTGTGCATGAGTCAGAGGCGGATGTGCAGGAAGGTGGTGCCTGGCTCAGAGCTGCAGGGTCAGGCCTCAGGTGGTAGCTGGTCAGTCACCATTGATGCACGGTCTGATGGGGAGAAGGCGTGAAACGAGTCCAGGATAAAGGGCACGTAGATGAAATGCCATTTATACTTGCAAAATGTTGTGTCGTGCATTAATTACGCTTCAGATTTATTGTTGGAAGCATCCCAAGCTGTTCCCACACACCCTCCGGACTCAAGCTTCAACCTTTCTAATTTTTCCCACAGCTCCTATACTATTAAGTTTGCTCGGTAAGGTTCATTGTATAGTACATCAGTTAAGCTGTCCAAAGGAGGGCAATTGGGCAGTGACAAGACACGCTCATGTGTAATGTGAAAGAAATGAATGTGGTGATGCATGAAGTGTAATCTGTGCGGTAACACATCGGAGACACCAGTAGGTAATTCAGCAGTCGTGGCATTGATTGATATGGTTAGCAGGGTAGTGTAACTATTAGTCCTCGTGAAGAAGCGTATTTAAAACCTAAGGGGTGCTGACTTGCACGCTGGAGACGACATAAACATAAGCAGAAAGGGCTGGTTCTTGCAGGGAAATGAGCTGAGAGCATTAGGGGAGGCTGGAGCCAGGGGCTCAGTGGAGGGAGGAAAGAGTAACTTGAGAATTCAGGCGGGGTGCAGTACAGTATGATATTTTATTTTTCTTTATCAGAGAGATGATGGCTTAAAACTGATGTCATTATGAGGTTTAAATCAACTTTCTGCTTGCTTGAACATGGTCACCTGGGTATGGAGGTACAAGGACACAAAGAGGTTGAGCAACTCTGTTTGTCTTTGAGCCGGTGATACCTGGGGTTGGGAAATTGAGTTCCGTGAGCTGTAATCTGTCAACTGTCCCCACAACATACATTTTTTAAACCTGTGCCTACATTTTCTTTCATAATCAAGGGGACTAGTTGTGCTGAAAAATGCAATGAAGAGCCAGGGCTATAGCTTAAAATAATTGGTAATGGACACTTCTTATTTTAAAAAAAGAATTACATACATCATGCCCTTTTGTTTTCAGAACAGTTTGCAAGACTCAGACAAATACTGTAAGTGTGCATATAAAACAGCCTCATCCCCCTAGTAAATGTAGCTGTGAATTCAGTTAAAAGCATTTTGCTTTTATTCTTAAGTATCTGCAATAGTAATAAATGTTTCTAAGGAGAGAATGCTGCTTTGTAAGTGATATTTTTGTTATGTTTTCAGAACTAATACATTGTTTAAAGCAGTATTTTAGTTTCATTTTAGTTTTTAGTGCTCGCCTATTGTCTTACACAAAATACCACATCCTTTAATGTTATATTTGTGTAATCTTTGCTGCTTTGTATGTAGACACATCTATAATCTAGATTTTACATCTGTACATAGTGGCAATTTAAAAATAAACCACATTTCAGCAGCGTTCTGAGCTGCGAGAGCTGGATCTTTAGTGGCTGCAAAATGAAACTGCAAATCGCACTTCAGATCACCCGTGAGTGAAAATAATAGGACTGAGACATCTGGGTGCCTGATTGCTCCCGTGGATTTGGCAGTTTCAGGGCTCAATCCCGCTCTGGTATGTAGGAAGTTGCAGCACTGGCAGCAGCGATCTCGGGTAATTGCAGCACAGTTCTGGGAATCTGACTTGGAATTTAGCTCTCGCTGTTAAAATGAAACTGTTAAATGGTAAATTACATAATTTATTGCGAGTGTTCGTGGATCTATTTGACTTGCTTTTACCATTTGTTCTGTTATTTTATTTAACCATTTTGCTGGGTGAGTAATGAGCACACCTTTCATCTGCCCAGTTTGACAGGCTGGGTAGGAATTCTCTCCAGAACTATTCTAAAAGAATGAAATTTGGGGAAGGAGGAGAAAGGCTTTTTCTAGATTTTATTTTATCTATCAGTTCATGTTGTCATTTTAAAGTGATGATTGTGTGCAGATGAGGATGACATCACACTTAACTCCTTAAATTAACATCACCCAGCCTGAAATCCTCCTTATTATCCTCACCATTCTTTCCCCACACAATTGGGTATATTTTGTTTTACTTTCAATATTTGGTATACTTAGTACTAATATGAGTTACACTTATATAGGAAGTTAGACCAAGCTGCTTTTTATTGACTTCTGGAAGATCTGCAAATAAATACAAAAGTATATAGAGGTATAAATATTATGTGTATGTCTATTTCAACAGCTGTAACAATTGCAAGCTTCTCGGGATAAAGCATTAGTAGATCCAGAAGTGACCAGGAGGAGATGGGAAGGCAGAGGAGAAAAGGGGACAGGGAGAGGGGGTGCCAGCCTGCTTCTAATTAAAAACCTGCAGAAATCCAGATAAGGGAGTGGTGGCAAAACAAAAAAAGGGGGTGGGGGGTGGGGGGAAAGCCAG